TACTTGAGTTTTTGTGAGGATGTAGTGAGACATTTGCATACTCTGAAGCATCAAAACCTACTTCATTTTTGTGTAAACCAATTCTGTAAAGTAGTATCATTAGATGTGATATTATAAAGGTCGTTAAAGCGCATTTTCCGAGGAGAAGAAGAAATTGAAGTAGCAGCAGTAGGAGCAGTCGCCATTTTAACCATACAGATGATGACATGCATGACTGACGTGTGAGCTGGCCACGCCCTTGCCATGATGTGATGTGACGAAACTTCCGGTAAAATGGTGTATTTCCGGGGTACCGGTATACTACAGAATGTCCTAGAGAGAGAGAGAGAGAGAGGGAACTTACAGGAAGTGGGCGTGCCTTTACAAAATTATATATCTAGTATACTGGGGCTTCGCCCCAGTATACTATATACAGATATCAAGTATAAATACGACAATCAGCACTATTCCTGCAGCAGGGTCGTGGTGGTGCAGTGGAGAGGCTGGTGGATTGCGTGGATGTGGTCGGCGGTTCGAATCCTGTCAAGACTGCTGCTTAAAACTATGCTGCAGTGTGTTATTTTTTTTTCTTTTTAGAAATAACCTTTCTTTTTTTGCTATTTTTTTGGCTTTTTGGGTCAAGAAATAAACACCCTCTCGTACATCTTAGCCTCCGGGGTCGTAGGGTTGGGGTTTGGGTTTAGTGTTTAGTTTTTAGAGCACCCTTTCGTACTTACATTACCACGACTTTTAATTTATACATAGTTACTCTAATATCTATGATTTATATAATTTTGTAAAGGCACGCCCACTTCCTGTAAGTTCCCTCTCTCTAGGACATTCTGTATACTACACTCTACCCAATTGGCCATATCGCCCATCACTACCACAAAGCAACTTTGATTGTTGTGCAAATCATTCACAGGGGTCCTGGGCCTTTGCCAAAGGGTCTGATACAGCCTTTTGCAGAAAACTTGCCACCAGTCACGTGATGTTAGCCATAGGCTTAACTTAATATTTTTATGAAGTCACGTGATCAGAATGGTGCAAGTTTTGTGCAAAGCGCTGTACTGTACTTACCTTTGCTTAATACATTGTGAGACTCCTCAGTTGCTGGGTCTTATTTTATTCAGGTAAATTTCTCCTCGAAGTTGCTATGCTTTTCAGAAATTGCCTAATTATCAGCTTATCAGCTACACGTGGTTCAAATTTTGAATGATTTTAATTATATTCATAAACCATTGGCAATGAATCAGTGACGTATCAGGAAGTGAAGCCATAGAGGACCCTTCACAATTCGTGTAGACTGGTAGAAGACATAGCTACAGGCTTACAGCCGGATTTACAGTCCTTAAACTGATCATGTAATGGCTTCATCCAAGGAACCACTAGCCAGAGCTCAGAAGATACCAAGAGGATCTAATAGGCTGAAAAGAAGTGAATGTATAGCAGCTATTGACTTTGGAACCTCATCAGTATCTATAGCATACACCACTCCAACTGATGGGCAGATCAAACTTGTACCACTTCACAGCACTTATGAAAGAGTCCCTAATGCTATACTTATTAAAAAGAATGAAGGGGAGCAGAATGAAACTACTGGAATTGGATATGGAGCACAAAGTTTATACAGTGGTAGGAGGAAAGATGCTGAAAAGTTCATATATTTTGAACGAATAAAGAATTTACTTGAGAGAGATAAAGTGAGTTCATACCATCTACCAATTTACTATTAACATGCACTTATATTGATCAGTCATTAGACCGTACTACTAAAGTCTCTTCATTCACTGGAGGGTCTTATTATCTTATTGAAGTTATAGCTTTTATACTCACACACCTCAAGGAGAAGCTATTGACTGATGAGCTAAAGGAAGTTTACAAGTCAACTGATTTTGATTGGGTCATTACTGTTCCTGCTATATGGAAAGCAAGAGCAAGAAGAATGATGAGAGAAGCTGCTTATATGGTAACCTAATACATGCTTTGTATTTCATTATGTTAATATGATAGGCTGGTCTCACTTCTGATGCTCCTGGTATAACAAGGTTCACTCCAGTTGGTTCTCCTTTACCACGTCCAGAGGAGGTTAATCCTGAGAAGCTATCATTAGCTCTAGAACCAGAAGTAGCTGCTATATATGCACAGCATCAGTCAGAAGTATCAGGAACACCTCCACAGAGATATATGGTAGTTGATATAGGAGGAGGTACAGTTGATATTACTGTACATGATAAGAGTAATGGGAGAATTAGTGTAGTACTACCACCAATGGGCAACACCTGGGGAGGAACAACTGTGAATGAAGCATTATCAGAATTACTACAAGAAGCAGTAGATGATAAAGGTTTTGAGTCTTTTATCAAATCTGGTGTTAGTAACAAAGCTGTTATCAATAAGCTGGTCTTTGAAGACTTTGAGGAACAGAAAAAAGTATTTGGAGATGCAACACCAGGCATTGACGAAATGGTACTCAAATTACCGAGAGCTTTCATAAATCATTATGAAAGTAATGAAATACTTAAAGTCATGATGCACAACATGCGTTACGATCCAAGAAAGGGTTCATTAAGCATAGGATATGATCTAATAGAAAAAAAGGTATTCCAATTCACAATAGACAGGATCATAGAGTGCGTGAGAGCAGCATTTGACAAGTTACCTAGTAAAATCAATACGGTTTATCTAGTAGGAGGGTTTGGAGGGTGTAGGTTTGTTAGGCAAAAGATAGAAGAAGCTATCGCTCAGCATTGTGGTATTCTTTATGATAATATAGTGTGTCCTCAATATCCAGGTCTTGCTGTTGTATCAGGAGCAGTAATATGGAGGAAAGATCCTAACATAATCCAATCACGTGTTGCTGATGCTACCTATGGGATAGCAGGTGGGCCTGCATTTGACCCATCAATACATGATGAACATTACAGGTATGTAGATGAAGATGGTGAGCAGCGTTGTAAGAGTGTACTATGCGTATATGTACTCAAAGGAGAAGCAATAAAGGATGAGGTATACCAAATCAGATTCAGACCTCTTTATCAAAGTCAAAAACAACTATCTTTCGCTTTATATTGTACAACAGATGATGGAGTTCAGTATGTAAGAGATAAAGAAGGTAAACCAACAGTACGGAAGATTGGTGAGCTAATACTTGATCTTCCTAATCCTGATAATGTACCAAGGAAGGAGAGACACATTGATGTATATATGGATTTCAGTGGCACAGAGATACAAGCAAGAGCTCAGTATACTATCACAGGAGAAGAAGTGAAAACAGTTTGTGACTTTCTATCAAACCAAGACTAGTAACAATAATGAAAACGAAAGAATAATACATGTAATGTAATACTAACTAACAATGACTAAAGTTTTAATTACAATAAATGGAGTAACTTTCTTGTGCAATTAGTTTTGAAAATTTTTTTGACTTGTTTTATGTGCAACACGTAATCTTAATACATGTACTTGCACATTTATAAAATATAAAACTAATTAATTACAATAACTAATTAACTAGACTTTTGTCGAAAATCAGATATCGCCAAGTTCAATTGGCCTTTCACCACTTACCACAGGTCTTCTGAGATTTTTGCCACAACCACCAGTGCGTCCCTCCATCTTGCCTTGCGACAAGTTTCAGACTGCCCATGATTAGATCACATGATTTCGGGTCATATTTGACTCGCATCTCACCTGACTTGCTTTTGCTACACCTCTGTCCATCAACTTAAGTTTGCCAAATATTTTCTCGCGAACCCAACTAGTTATGACTTACAGAATTTGTCCAGTTTACTATAATTATTTCTTACCACAAGTTGAACCAGATCAGTCAGTGGTCTGTCTATTATTCCAGTAACTATTATTGTGAATATAATACGAATCTAAAGGAATAAAACTAATAATAAGTACACATTTAGCATCAAAAATATTTTTGCTAAATAAATAAAGTAATTTCAGTGCTTGATAAAATTGAGATATTTTTGAAACATTTTTGGAAATAAAGCATGGGCTATAGCACAGGGTATTTTTTAGAAATTGGCATATTTTTTTAAAATGACCGCAACTCAAAAAGTTTTGGTTGGAATCAGCTCGATCAAACTTTTTTACATAGCATAAGGACATCAATATGTATCAGAAAATGTAAAAAAATTGGGGGTGATATTTTGGAGCCATTTTCTGAAAAAAACCATGGGCCTTGGGTATTGAAAATTGGCCATTTAAAAAATGCTCATAACTTTAAAAATTTAATATCGGAATTAGCTCTAACTTTCTATGCAGCATGAGGACATCAATAAGTATCAATAATTGTGAAATGTTTTCTGATATACCTCTGATACTGATTTCATGTCTACAATGAGCAATCAATAATTTCCAAGTATCTCCAGTCCATAGTTAAATCACATGCATGGTCACATGACCTGTGATTGACAATCAGGTATGAGCACATATCACGGTTGATACATTCCTAGCACATTGATCTGTACTGTGAGTCATGTTCACTATAAAGGAATAGAACCAGTTTTATAATTATTAATGTGTACATATGAGAAACTACACTTAATATTGTAGTTTTAATTTTAGGATTTTTGAGCACTAATTGTTACATACATGCCAATTAGTAAATTGCAGTTGTAGTGAGTAAAATTTATACTTGCAATGATACCATATAGATTGTCTAATCATAACAACACAAAAAAAAACTGTAAAAGTAAAAATACACAATTTGGAAAACATTAGCTAGCAGTTTGGGGATTAAGTTGAGTGTTAAAAACAAACTATAGTATATCTAATAAAAATTTTTGGCCATTTAAATCCACAATATGCTGTACAGAGTGATGTACAGCTTTAATAATGACACTCCTGCTGAATCAATTCTCACTATTGATGGCAGCAATAGGATAAATAATAAGCCAATATATGTCCCCATTTGTAATAGGCAAAACTTTATATCCCATTGAACTTTCTATCCCAATAAATTGTGATACACTATAGGTAGACATCACTTTTGTAAGTAAATTGAAAACATTGACTAGTGTCCCATTTACGCTATACTGGTTGCATGCATTCGTTATCAGTGCATATGTTTATATTATTATTGTTGATGTGTTTCATTATTATTATTATTATGTGTTTATTGTTATTTCTATTATAATTAGTACTTCAATATTGCTAGTATACTGTATTACCAGGAGTAGTAATAATAAAATCATTATTAGTGTTCTGGTACTATAGTAGCTAGATTCATTTTCTTTATTGTGTTATTGTGTGCTTTATGACATGTTTTGTTGATGCCTAGATCTACGGGCTTCCAAGCAAATGCAACTACTGTCAACTTTTCATCTGTGAAGAAAATTGTATACCTCTTTATAGCCCTTGATAGCAATAAGAAACATTTTATATTCATTATTTCTGAGACAACATATATGAATGCTATTCCATTAGTTATACTATATGAATTGTAGCTAGGTAACGATGAACCAGTCAAAAAGACACAGTACATGCATGTACAAAGTAAACCTTTAAGTAAGAAAATGTCTTTAGTAGTTCTATCACATCATGGAGAACAATAACGACAAAAATTAGCAATGCCATGAATACTTACAATAACAAATAGATATATACAGCCCTTGTATAAACAGATGTTAGACAAAATTTCGGGACTGCAGCAGCACTGTAACAGGAGTATGTTTTGACATTTAAAATTAAATCAACAATAATGATGGTGTCCTTGCTGTTTTTTTCCTTTTTATTAATTTTTCAGTCTGTACGGAGTAGTGATGTACAGTTTCAATATGACACTCCTCCTGAATCAATACTCACTACTGATGGAGGCAGTAGGATCAATGGAGTACAGGATCGGAGAGGAAAGGACATCATTTTGGGAGGATTGTTCACAGTGCATAGAGATGCAGAAGGATCTGCTGGTGCTAAGTGTGGTAACAAAGTCTGGGGCTATGGTATGGACACTTTAGAAGCAATGTTCTATGCACTGGACAGCATAAACAGTGACCCTGATCTATTGCCTAATATAACCCTTGGATATGATATCAGAGATACTTGTCAAAGCAAGAACATAGCTCTTAATGAAAGTTTCAGCTTTGTCTTTACAAATACTGATACTGAATCTGGTACTTGCAGATCATTAGAAGCATCAGGTAATGACTCTATTCAAATACCAGTAGCAGCAACAATTGGTCCTTTGGAAAGCTTCATATCCATTCCAGTGGCTAACTTCTTTCATCTTTTTCAAATGCCTCAAGTCAGTTATGGCTCCACATCAACCGAATTAAATAATCGTGATCAGTATGGATACTTTTTCCGGACAATACCTGCACATGATACACAAGCAGAGACTATGATTGACATGATGCTGTATTATAAATGGGATCATGCTTCAGTCATATACTCTGATAATCTGTTTGGTGATTCATTTTATCACCATTTCCTCTCAGTTGCAAAGGCTAAAGAAATCTGCATTGATGCCAATGAGCTGATAAGAGATGACTTTGATGATTCAGACTACCGTAAGTTGGTAGAATTACTATTCCAAAACACGACAGCAAATGTGATTGTACTATTAGCAACTTCAGATCATGCTGACAATTTCATCAAACATGCACGAATTGTAAAGGAAAACAATATTGCTCACAGAAACATTGTGTGGATTGCATCCACGGGATCTGCTGAAGC